ACCCCTGAGCTTAGGCAATTCTCTTGCCTTGGCCTCCCAAAGTGCTGGGATTACAGCTTGAGCCAATGCGCCTGGCTAATAAACTGTTTTAAAACTTTGCTGGCAGCCGGGCTCGGTGGCTCAGCCTGTAATCCCGTGCCTTTGGGAGGCTGAGGTGAGTGGATTGCCTGAGGCGGGCGTGGTAGCACATGCCTGTAATTCCGGCTACTTGGAAGGCTGAGGTGGAAGGATCTCCGGAGCCCAGCAGCTTGAGGCTGCGGTGGCCAGGAGCGGCCACTGCACCCCAGTCTGGGCGACGGAGTGAGACCCCAACTCAAAAAAAAAAAACTTTGCTGGCCACTCTAAAATTCATTTTAAGGGTCAGGCATGGTGGCTCACACCTGTCACCTCAGCACTTTGGGAGGCTGAGGTGGATTACCTGAGCCGAGGGGTTCGTGACCAGCCTGGGCATCACATCAAGACCTCATCTCTACAATAAATTAAAAAAAACTTAACCAGGTGTGGTGGTGGCACCTGTAGTCCCGGCTACTCAGGAGGCTGAGGTGGAAGGATTGCCTGAGCCCAATAGGTCGAGGCTGCAGTGACGTGTGATCCTGCCACTGCACTCCAGCCTGGGCAACACAGTGAGACCCCGACTCAAACATTGTTTTAAAAATCAGTTTTGGGTCGCACCTCACCCGGCATCATCGTCTCCTGTTCATCAATTGGCTTCGTACCAGTTATTTTTGCAGGGTAATTTTAAGGGGCAAACAGCCCTGGTCTCACCCCTGCTGTTCTAGTCTTTGACTCTTGGCTAAGATGATGAGGGGTTGATTAAAGCCAGACCTTTCCTGGTGACCCCACGGTCTGTTTATTTGCTTAAAGTTTGCAGGTTTGCAACAGACCTCACCGGTTGGACAGGCTGGCTGGCTTTGGGGGAGGGCAGTGAGCAAGATCTTCCCTCATCCTGTTAATGTTTGTTTTGAGCTTTTCTGAATTCAAGGATCCTCTCACCATCATTTTTTTCCCCCAATTTTTTATTGTAGAGACAGGGTCTCACTATGTTGCCTAGATTGGTCTCGAACTCCTGGTTTCAAGCGATCTTCCTGCCTTGGCCTCTCAAAGTGCTGGAATGACTTGTGTCAGAGCCACCATGCCTGGCAACTTTCTTTTTTTTTTTACCTTTTTGCACAGATGCGATCTTACTGTGTTGCTCCAGGCTGGTCTCGAAATTTCAGCCTCAAGCAATACTCCTGCTTCAGTCTCCCAAAGTGCTAGGATGACAAGTATGGGCCACAGTGCCTGACCAACTCCCACCATCTTTGGTGCCTCAATCCCAAAACAGAAACTCATGCACAAACCTGTTGTTTTCCATTCCCTTATCTTCACAAAGCATCTCCCCTGCTGATCTGCAAAATTCCTTGGATAACTGCAAATCACCAGTTATCTGTGACCTGTAAGCCCCTGCTGGGACATGCCCTCCCCTTCCTGGGCCATCAATGAAGTTGTTTTTTTTTTTCTCTGAGTTGGAA